TTTTTTTTTTTAATTCTCTATAAAATTTTATTTTAGTCGCTATGTTAATAATTAAAGCACACAATGTACTACTTCGATGCTCTTAGTAATGTCATAACATATAGTTCCGTTATTTAATATTTACCAAAAAGTTGCGCATACGCCCTGTCGCCAGAAAAGTGCCTATTAAATTGAATGAGTGTTGTAGAAATTACAAATATTTTTTAAAAATAACTCATCTTTGCAATACTACTATTATTTTACTCTACCAATGGAAGGTATGCATATGTATGTGCCACCTCACATAAAAATGTCTACACTATAAACATAAATACACATATGGAATATTTATATAAATGAACCTACAAACCAGTTAATAGCAATTAGTGACAGGTTCCGTGTAATTCATATTATTCAATTTTAATTTATTTTCCTGGAGCCCTTATTAACAAATTGAAACACTTTATAAGCTTAATCGATATGAACGTAGCACGTAACAACAAATCTATATCGGAAAAATTAATCAGTTTTACAATCGATTAATGAACTTTTAACGCAATCGCGGTTTGATGCAGATTTAAATGCCTAAGAAAGTAAAATTAAGTTGAAAACAGTACAAAAACATCAAAAATATGTGTGTATGTACATTTATTTAGATTGACTCACTCAACGTAATGGACCAACCCACAAATCTGGTTGCCGTACCCGAGCAAACGTAACAGACGCACAAACGGACAGACGTGGAAGAAACCGCAATGGAAACATCCCCGTGTTGTGTGAAAAATCAACAACAAAATCACATTTATATATTTATAAAAAAAAAATGCAAGCAAAATGCGTTTATAAAATTTTAAACAAGCGTTTCCGTTCCGTAAAGTAAAGCACAAACGACTTGAGTAAACAAGAAGCGCTTATTTTGGTTTGTTATTTTTTATCAAACTTAATTTATTAAAATTTAAAATATCTCTGAAATGTGAACTTCAAAATTAAACATGCATAAATGTGTCTGAAGAAAACTGCACAAAGAAGAAAACAAAAAAAAGCAGAAGACACATAAATTTAAATAAACTAAAATAACTTACATGTGTCTACATATACATATGTACATATGTATTTATAAACATATATGTATACGAACAGTGAATTATGCCTTGGCTTGGCTGATGTTGGTAAAATTGTGACTACGTCCGATGTGAAGCCAGCACTTAAGATTTTTTACTGACGTTAAGAGCTGTTGGTAGTTTTTCTATGCTTTCTGTGGTGACAGATTTTGTTTTCCAAAACATGGGTTTAGACTGTGCATTAAAAATTATTTATTTGATGACGTCGTAAATAAAATTAGATCATATTGTAGTACTCATGACAGTAGGGTCTTCGAAACTAGAACGCAACCGGATTTATTTTAGGTTAAAGGCTGTCAAAACGGGGAAAATGTGCAATATTTATACGTAACACAGCGGGTTCTTCCACTTTGTTGAACCTGTTGATGATATTGATTGACTCTGCTAAAGTTAGATTTTGGTGGAAAAAATCATATTTTTTCATATTTCGAGTTGTACCTTTAAAAAGAACATACTAAATTTTAAATCGATTTCTCAAATAGCTTTTGAAATATAGCCTTCTAAACTTTAGTCTCTCAATTAAATCAGCCCTATAAGTTTATAGTTCTATGTTTCCGTATATATTCACTGGAAGACGTTTCCCATCATATAGTATCCCATAAGGCAGGAATAAAGATATAAACTAATACACTTTTTATTTTTCTCGGAAGTCGCTGAATCGATCAGCTATTTTCTGGAAAGCTTAAATTTGCTATTGCCGTACATAAAAACATCATCCAAGGTGGTAATTTCATATTAAAATTTTTTTTACTAATAATACATTATTCAAGTAATATGTAGCTCAAACTACTAAGTAAAATAAAATATGTTTAATTACCTTGTTTGAAACCTTGTTCACTTCATTTCCTTCCTTCAATGCTTACTTTTACTACGCGAAAGTATTTAAATATAGTATGTGCGTATCGCATACGCCCACTTAACCCCCAGATAGTTTTGTTGTTGTTGCAAATGCTTAACTGCATATTAAAAGGCTAATTAAAACGCAAGAAAAAGATATAGAGAACATATTATAGTGTAATTTATGTTTAATTAGACTTCCTAGAAAAGTTTACATTTTTTGTTTGCATTAATAAGCTAATAATAATTGAAAAACAACTAAAATACCTAAATGTGAACCATAATTCAACGGGTCAAACAGTAAATAATTATTTCCTAGCAGTCGATTACAAATCGATAAGTAAGAGAAAGGCGTGTTTGAACTTTTGACACGCACATAACTGACAACTTATAAATTAAGTAGTAAACAAAGCCAGATGATCAATAAATATGCGATAAATAATGAAAAGTGAAAAAAAAATTAAACAAAAAAGTGAAACAGCAAAGCAAAACATGCGTAAAACTAAATTAATTACTATAACAAGGAAAGTCAACAGCAAGAGCACAGGTGAGCGCTGCATATGCACATACATACAAACAAGTGCACAAATAGCAGTTTCGTCCAAGCGCGTGCTGTTGCCGAGTGGGCTCGTGCTCGTCGTCTGCCATCTACCAGCAATGAGCAGCAATGTGTTTGCAGCAACAATCAGAGTCAATCGTCAACAGCAGCAACAAGTTCATTACCTGCTGAATCACGTTTTCGCATGTTTGTTCAAACCGAACATGTTTGAAGCACAGTGAATGTTCTTTCCGATATAAATAATATGAATTCAAAGTGTGCTTTTTGTTTTATTGGCTTTACGCAAAAGCAGGCGCAAAAACAAGAATCGTATAAAACAACAAAAATAAAAAATATAATTTTAAGAAACAATCAAAATCAGCTGAACTATAAGATGACGCAGTCGCAGCAGCAGTAACAACAATAATAACAATGCTAAACCCCCGCCTTAAAGCGGTTGGCTGGTGCGGCGCCGTGATCGCGTCGGGCAATTTTTCCTTTATAAGTGAACAGCGACGTCCAAGTTCAGTTTCTTCTGTTCACAAAAGTCAAAGCGGACGGTGTTCCGCATAAACGGTGTTTCGAGTCTGCGCGACGGTTCAGCGATAATATAGCATTGTGTACATATAATTTTTAATTAATAACGTCGCATATGTACGCGCAGAAGTTCTAATTGAGCGTCAAAGTTGATAGTATAGTAATATTTATAAAGAATTGTGCAGCAGAAATCAATTGAATTGAGTGTCGCGGTTGGTTGTGTAGCGTAAACGCTGATAAGAAAAATATTTCTAACGCATTTGATATAGTTTTGGTATTTTTTTACGAGAGCGCTTCATTTCGTATCACAAACAACGCGAAAGCAATTCAATAAAACAAATAAAGTGTTAAAGTTTGCGTGAATTTTTAAAAAGAAATAAACGCAAAGCTTGGATTAATAATAAATATATTTTTGGAACATAACCAAAGGTTAGTGCACAGACATTTTTTAATACTATTACACGAAAAAGCGTAAATATTGGTACATTTAGTGTTATTTTCGTAAAAATATTTATTTTAGAATTTTTGAATTAAAGGGAAGACCTATTAAATACTCTGCAAAACTCAAATAAAGCGTAAAAAATATGATGAAAAAATAAATTAAATTTTTAACTCAAGCGTTTCAAATTTAAAAGTAGATACATTCAATTTTATAAACTATAACTTGAAGTAAAAATTGTGGACTTTAATTTTTAAACAAGTTTTCAGTAAAAAAAAAATTATTATAATTTTTCTTAATGAGAAACA